AAAAAATCCATCGTCATGGTAATTTGTTTGAGGAATGAATGCATTCAACATATCACAAATTTACATAAATCAAATCATTAGGCCGTAAGCACCTCTACTTCAAGTGTCAAGTCTAGTAGAAGGTTCTTACTGCCACGTCAATAGATTAATAAACTTAAACCTAATAAACTGCAACAAATTAAAAGCATGTCAGATAGGCAGATGCAAACTATATAAATGAATTTATTTGAATTGTGCAACAAACGGACACATGAATGGAGCTTCTGCAACTTGAACTCGAAGTAATCATACATTAGAGGGTGCAAATTAAGGGCCCAAAACGTATTGATTAAGTGAAAAAAGTTTAGCAGAAAATAATCCTGAGAGGATATACATTCTCATTCCCACAAAATGATCTACATGTTTGCGTCAATAATATGGACTAAATCGATTAGTGCGTCGCCTCAAGACGCAACTGAAATAAATACATTCTTCACCTTGCTCAAGTCCTTTTCCTAAGAGGCAAATCATGTCACTAATGCAGCACGATAAACATAACTGCTTCCATTAAGGCAGCAGTAGTGGAAGACGAGAACATTCAAGATGATAATATACGGAATTGTGCAGTTCGAGATGTGTATGTGGCACGGAAATACAATAACCGAACGCTCAGTTCACATTTGATTGATTAGTGCATACCACCGATAATGTTCAATCTACAATCGAACTAAGGAATGAGATCAGTCATTATAAAACAAAAACACATCTCTTCAGATCTAGTATTCATTCCTCGAAGAGTTCAAAAATTATTGAAACGCAACAATTAACCGATTCAGCAGTCTGAGTTGGAAGCGAGCAAAGGGAATCGATAGGTTGTAGGTCGAGCAGCCTGACGGAGCTCACTGAGCAGTCTGATAACAACTGAAACTACTGATCATGCTCAGCTAGATGACCACCCCTAGAGTTCGCTGGTAATCATTTAGCAATGATAGCGTCTTATCGTAGCCAGAAAAATGCTCGTGTGTTTAGATCAGATGACGCGACTTCCTCGCTTATCTCGCGTGAGAGGGTCAATGTCGAGTCGGTGAATCTCTAGGGGTACGCTTTAGGAATAAGAAGTTTGGCTGTGATTTCTTCAAACCCGGGAATATTTCTGCCGTTAAAATTTTTAAGAGTTCCTCTTTGACGCCCTTACAAATTTTTTACAAACACGATTTAACCGGGCAAAAAGTATTTGCAATGCCCTAATGAGATAATTCCAAAAATTTGCAACAAAAATATGGAACGTCGAGAAGGGCAATCCTTAAAATGCCGCCCTCAAAACCATCCGTTCAACATTTTCAGGTAGGCCTTCCCCTTCGCGCCAAATCAGGTGGCATAAAAGAAAAAATTCTACGGTAGGGTTTACCCCGGTGATGAAATAGGCTTAGTTCACACTATACTGCAGGACACGTGTCATGCAGGCATGTGCCAGTCACGGTCCGTTCCCTGTCAGGTACATTCACATGTTCAGTCCGGTGACTCCGGTCACGGGCCGCCCTCACTTCAGTTCCTTTCGTATCGCGTGCCATGCCGTGTACGCGGCGTTGCCACCTGGTATTTCGCCATACCAGATTTCAGTAATCTAGTATGTAGAGATGGTCTTTGTTATGGAATTTTTTACCTAGTATATTTGCTAAAATCTTGCATTTTAAGCTGGCAATTTGGTATACTCGTCAAAAGAATAGTTGGAAACGCTGCAGTCACGTCCCGGTCAAAATATATTTTGCTTTGGTCGAGGACTAGCAGGCATGGCATTGGCAGGTGCCCGCCCCCGCCGGTGGTGTGAACGCTTCTAAAGAAATGCATTAAAGAATATTGGACTGGGCCGTGATAACGTGCCCAGCAGTTTGGTGTGAACCAAGACTTACTGTCTTGTTCTCTGACCAGCAGCGTCAGGCAAGTTCGATTGCAAAATCAGGGGAACGCGCCAAGAAAATTAAAAATGTACTCAAGAAGACCACGATACTTTCAGCGTGAAATTTGGCTTGTAATCGCTCACAAACTTTTCCGGTTTTGTAGCTCATGAAACGTGCAGCTTCTAGGATAAAATGATGTAGCGTCAATGAACACAGAGTGGAGACGCAGAATCATGTAGCTCTGGGCATTTATAAATCAATTGAATATTTACCTTCTGAAGTAGCACTACAGAAGTCTACCGGTATACACTTGACCCTTAAGCATACCCTCCATGATTCAACATCAGGGTTTTCTAGTTTTCGTATCGCAAGCTTGAGTGGGAGGCGCTATAGCTCCACGTGCTGGGGTGATGGCAGAGAGCAGAGCAGCTAAAGACCCCGAAGGCAACACGTGCTATACCGGCGACTGTACAGCAGTGGATCCCTAAGGCACCACGTGCTACTAACAATTATTGTGCAATAGCAGATCCTGTGGGTCGTAAGTGCTACCGGCGGCAATACAGCAATGGATCCCTAAGGCACCACGTGATACTAACAATTATTGTGCAATAGCAGATCCTGTGGGTCGTAAGTGCTACCGGCGGCTATACAGCAATGAATCCCTAAGGCACCATGTGCTACTAACAATTATTGTGCGATAGCAGATCCTGTGGGTCGTAAGTGCTACCGGCGACTGTACAGCAGTGGATCCCTAAGGCACCACGTGCTACTAACAATTATTGTGCAACAGCAGATCCTGTGGGTCCCAAGTGTGCTACTGGCGGCTGTGCAGAAGCAGCAACAACGTTAACTGAAAGGTACAATTTGACAAAAAATGTGTAGTAGAACATTCTGTGTTACTGATAAAACGACCAAATGTTGTGAGCATTGGCTTACGGTGAAACTGAAACATCCAAACCTTCTTGACGAAGCTTGGAACGGACAGCAATGTTTGTACGGCTCTGAGCCTCCGCAGTGATAGTCCCACCTTATCTGCTGAGCAGATGTCATCACTGAACTACACTGCGACACAAATGTACTCCACAGCCCCGCAAATGATAATCCACAGCACGCCCACAGTATACCTTGCACCTGTGCAGCAACACTACACGGCCACTGTACTGCACAGCAACACTGCACGGCCACTGTACTGCACAGCAACACTGCACGGCCACTGTACTGCACAGCAACACTGCACGGCCACTGTACTGCACAGCAACACTGCCAGCAAGTGCACAGCAACACTGCACAGCGCTGCACTGTACAACACACTACCCTGTAGATAATGCAGACTGCAGTGCAACAGAGGACGGCCCTGCCTTATGAGCGCTTGAGAGCCTCCTTGTTCTCCTGGCGTCCTGCACCTGATGTGAGGTGCGGTGTGGTGATGGGGTGGTGATGGTGATGGGGTGGTGTGGTGATGGGGTGGTGATGGTGATGGGGTGGTGTGGTGATGGTGGTGTGGTGGTGGTGTGGTGGTGGTGTGGTGTGGTGGTGTGGTGTGGTGTGGTGATTGGGTAGTGTAGTGATTGGGTGGTGTAGTGTGGCCATGGGATAGTGCGGTGTGGTCCAGCGGTAAGATTGTCATGTAGAGTATAGTGCTGATTTAATGGTGAAGTCAGAACGTTGCGATGTGACGTGACACACCATCACCACACCACACCACACCCCCCATCATCACACCACCCCATCACTTGGCTGGCACAGAGAAACACCACAACGCATCGCAAGGAGCTTGAAAGTATATATAAAATATATTTCGAATTTTGCGTTAATTTTTTACAGTCACCCGATATTGAATACCTAAACAACGGTTCAAAACAAACACGCGTCACGCGATTTATCAACATCTTCATTGTGCTATTTCCTCAAAGTGAATCTAAAGAGAAATTTTGGCTGTGGTCATGGATCCTTATCCCCATCGAGAAATCTTAAAAATCAATGGTTTTCATCTCAATCGAAGAATCTTAAAAAGAAACAACGTGGTGCTCACAATGTCCGGCAAGTTCATCGTACACGAATCACGCCATGACAGCGGTTATCTTAGTCTTATCATCGGTGCAAACAACTCTGCAGCTCGTGTGAGTTGTTGCGGAAACTAATGGACAAAACATGGTTTATGACAGCTCATTCTTGCCCAATGTTCACCACTGATTGCTAGAGCTACCAATCCTAAATATATAAATTATTCATTAGTTATCATTTGTCCTTGTTGACCTTAGGCAGTCCGTTCAGCAAGGAAACTTCCTATAGCGAAAGCAACATCACAAAGAGCAGGATTGGTTCAACAGTCCCACATCGTGAACGTTTACGCCAAATTTACGGTTGGTCTACGTTTATATACGTAGTCTAGAGACGGTGAAACAAAAAAAAATAATTTAGGTGAACTCAACGAAATAATATTTTTTTTAAATTAGGCGCATTTCATAGTTCTTTCGCGTTTCGTACACTCATTATGTGTCAGACGAGTAACATGATATTCCGTTCAGAATTTCATGCATTCAACATTTCTGCGCAGGAAATTAGAGGCAGATATATCGATAAGATAACGATAATACGTCAATTTTATAATCAAATCTCATTTTAAATAATCATAACGGAATTGTTCTAGCTAATAATTACCGTTCATAGGATGTCAGCCTAAGGACGTTCACTGAACATTTCCTTAGCTGCGCAGTTTATAACCGCACTTCATGTTACGTAATATTTATTGTCAGTGTCTACATAATGCTTCGTCAGTCCTCGAGACGCTATCTGTCACGATGATTTGCCTGACGATGCCGATATGACAAAGTGCGCGTAAGCAGTAAGATAAGAGCGCATACTTTGTTGAACAACACTGTTCTCCTGATCTATAATGCTTAATCACTAGGACCAATATTTTTTTCCAGTCATAAGTTTTGTCATTCAAGCCTTTAACGATAATAAAATCTATTATAAACAAGTTCATACATTCCGAACAGAGTTGAGCTGTAGGTTTAATTGCGTAGGCGATGTAACTCAAACTTGAAAGAACAAACCAATATTCCAACCGATATGGCTATATTCTTAGGACCGGAGCGCTAGTTTGAAAGGCGTACTCACCCTTGCGGTTCCTCGCACCAACTTTCAGCAGCTTGGGATACCGGATGTCGGTATCGGTGGTGGCCATAACCTGAAGACAAGAAACAAATTATTGCAAATGATATTGATGGCTTACGTTGTTGCATCGTAGATATGAAGGACCGAGGCGGTATCTGCTGTAACAACTGAAGATCGGACGAAATCTGCTTTATGCTGCCCGACGAATGAATTATGTCGTGGAAGGATTGGCACGATACGGTATTAGGAACTGGACTTCGCCGTGCTTCACTACATTTCGAAGGACGTAAAAATCCGTTAGGTCTTTGAATTTCTACTTGTCGAGCTATATTATCGTACATCGACTGAGTAGCCGCAGGTCGAGAAAACAAGTCGTACGTCGGTTGCCAAGTGGGTCGATGAGTGACCAATTCATAAGAGGGTTGACGATGCGCTTGACATTTGATCACGTTGCGCAATTGTAAACAGGTTGATTGCCGAGGCATGAAGTCGTTGGACGTTTGTCGAACCAACGGGCGATTGATACAATCGAGATTAGGTGGGGGATTCGTCGTCGAACTAGGCAACAACGCGCGAGACAACTGGCCCGAGTTGGTTAGGTTTGGCGTCGGGCGTACATCGCACTCGAGGGATTGTTGATTCTCTACCCAATTCCGTTCCAATTCGATCGATGCTTGGCTTGCTATAACACAGTGTCCATGTGACAATGGTTCAGGCACAAAATTATCAGGATTGAATGTGCGATCCATTAGTTTCACTCGATGATTATCAGTTTTAAGCCTGTTTATATCCACATTTAGGTGAATAATTGAGTCGACTAATAGCGTTTTTTACTCCGCTACAAAAATTATAACCGATCGCGACGTTCACGATAACATATACACGCTAATAAGCAAGCTCGTCGCACAAATAGCCTCAACAGAATTGTGTAACAATATTCTCGTAAAACGTTGTAAACAATTTTTGGCTTCGCTGGAGTACTGAATATACACACTTAAAACCCAACACGTCCAGGAAGATGTTTCTCTTCCATCTACTGCCGCTAGAGTGTTTATGCTGAAATGGAGTGACCGCTCATGGTCCACCTCATTTAAATGCCACCCGACGCCCGATACTGATCTCATCTGGTGCATTAAATGTAGGGCTGGCGATAATGAATATTTTTTAATGAGTGACCGACTGACCACTCTATCGATAAATAACTCATGGGTGGAGCTGAGTTAAAATGGCCGATATGTTCATGTCGCCTGACAATATATGGTATCCAATGGGCTTGTTATGAGAAATCGATCTGCACGAGTCTCAACTACGAAAATCTGAAAATTTATTTCTGAAAACCCGAGGTCTGAAGCTGTCATAAACGCTGTGTTCAACCGAATGCATACACTTTTGATGTGGCTGGAAAATGGCATTATCAAATCCAGAAATTATAATTTCGTGATCGGCCCTGGTAAACTTAGACATCGTAACTGAGGAAGGAGGCAAATAATGTTTTGAAGTTCATCACAATTTTGACAAAGTCTTTCTATTATCTCTGAGTGTTGGCCAATAAAGTGTCGTTAAAAAATTTAGTCAAATAGAGACGCCACGCAGCTACGGACTATGACTCAGCGACGCGTGTGATCTATACACGGCAACTTTATCGTCATTCGACATCATACATGAGGATTTTAATAAATTTCAATCAAGACATAGTGTTCTAATTGTTGAGTTCATAAATGAGCTTCTAAGATGAAATTAGCGAGACGACAACTTTTGGCAGTCGATCAAAATGACAGGCAAAAAACAGCGGCCAGCAGACAAAAACTCGCGGCAGAGAAAACTAACCAAAGCACTATAACAAATATTAGCCATTATTCTCTTAGTATACCTAATTTTTATAAGTTATGACGAACGGCATCGAGAAAAGCTAGGAATACATTTCGAAAACAACACAATCAAATTTTATGCAAAAATTAATTTATCATAAAGAAAATTAACCGTTACTAATCAAATAGGTGCTAAGAGAATTTCAAATTCAAGAATTCAGTTTACAAATTCAGTTCTCTTTATAATTGCAGAATTCAATTAGTGATTTGGCTACTACAAAACGAAATAAAGAGCACATCATTCCACTTGGTGGTAGTCGGTTTTCCGTTGTGCATGCCTAACTCAAGGAGTATTTACAGAAGGAAATCGATAGCATCAGGATCTTAAAATTTTATTTCCGACTTTCATGGTGGCCAAGCTTAAAGAATCCATAACAAAATTACAATCTAAATCCCTTGAAAGCCTAACAGCTCTACCAGCATTTCTTAATTATAAGCGCCTCAAAAATACATGCAAATGCCCATCGTACAGCGACCTAGGCTGGCATAATTGTACAGGAAGGACACAATAGCTCCCAAGACCTCTGCTATACTCGTTAGCTGATCAGTATCAGGTGTCGGCTAATGGTCTTAACCGCAACTGCTTTTATCCGTAACTTAATATTCAAATTTTCAAGTAAAGAGGGGAATAAATCGATTGTTCTAGCGTTATGTTAGAATCTAGACGCGAATGAGGTTCAGTATATTTGCTGACATCATAATACGACCATGTTAACGATACGACATAACTTTTCTCGCAAAGTCTTTAGCGCAATCTGATCAGATAAATTCATAAGTGCCGCAACATGGCAGTGAATGAAATGCATCACACAAGGTCTGATGAATTAAATGAGCTGCATGAGCTGCTGGATGAATGCGCTGGACGAGCTGCTGGATGAATGCGCTGCATGAGCTGCTGGATGAATGCGCTGCATGAGCTGCTGGATGAATGCGCTGCATGAGCTGCTGGATGAATGCGCTGCATGAGCTGCTGGATGAATGCGCTGCATGAGCTGCTGGATGAATGCGCTGCATGAGCTGCTGGATGAATGCGCTGCATGAGCTGCTGGATGAATGCGCTGCATGAGCTGCTGGATGAATGCGCTGCATGAGCTGCTGGATGAATGCGCTGCATGAGCTGCTGGATGAATGCGCTGCATGAGCTGCTGGATGAATGCGCTGCATGAGCTGCTGGATGAATGCGCTGCATGAGCTGCTGGATGAATGCGCTGCATGAGCTGCTGGATGAATGCGCTGCATGAGCTGCTGGATGAATGCGCTGCATGAGCTGCTGGATGAATGCGCTGCATGAGCTGCTGGATGAATGCGCTGCATGAGCTGCTGGATGAATGCGCTGCATGAGCTGCTGGATGAATGCGCTGCATGAGCTGCTGGATGAATGCGCTGCATGAGCTGCTGGATGAATGCGCTGCATGAGCTGCTGGATGAATGCGCTGCATGAGCTGCTGGATGAATGCGCTGCATGAGCTGCTGGATGAATGCGCTGCATGAGCTGCTGGATGAATGCGCTGCATGAGCTGCTGGATGAATGCGCTGCATGAGCTGCTGGATGAATGCGCTGCATGAGCTGCTGGATGAATGCGCTGCATGAGCTGCTGGATGAATGCGCTGCATGAGCTGCTGGATGAATGCGCTGCATGAGCTGCTGGATGANGGCATCAACAAGTAGCTTAAACCGGCAGCAACAAGTGGCTTAAGCCGGCAGCAAAAGGTGGCTTAAACCGGCAGCAACGAGTAGCTTAAACCGGCAGCAACAAGTGGCTTAAACCGGCAGCAACAAGCGGCTTAAAACGGTATCAACAAGCGGCTTAAAACGGTATCAACAAGCGGCTTAAAACGGTATCAACAAGCGGCTTAAACCGGCAGCAACAAGCGGCTTAAAACGGTATCAACAAGCGGCTTAAAACGGTATCAACAAGCGGCTTAAACCGGCAGCAACAAGTGGCTTAAAACGGTATCAACAAGTTGCTGAAACGGTATCAACAAGCGGCTTAAAACGGCATCAACAAGTTGCTGAAACGGTATCTGAACGAAACTGAAATTGTACTTTAACATTAAGATATTAGAAACAGCTTCTTATCAATAGTTTTTAAAACGACACCAACATCAATACAACAGCCTCGAACAAGGAAGCGCCAACGCTAGTGAGCCAGGACTAGCTTCAATGTAAAAGCATTGAAGAAGCTGAAACAGTACTACTGGCTACTGCAACTGACTGCACTACTGCACCTGTCCCAAAAGTCACGTGCTGCAGTAGCACGACAGTTAGAGCTGTACAGTTAGAAGCTGAAGTTGGAAGAACAAAGTTTTTTTTATAAACAACGGAGCGAGCTCTTTTCATTTAGCAAGCGACGATCACCGGAATGACATAGATTGGAACAACCCCTCTAAGCCTCTATGGCAATTAATTAACCCTAGTCAAGCAACGTCATTTTGTACTTAAATCGAGTTTTAAATTAAAATTCAACGTGACAATCGTTACTGAGTAGCGCTGCTCCATCATAAGCGCCGGCCGTTCAACACATGTAAGCTGATAAGCGTGCGCGCGCACGCCTAACTGAAGCGTGGCGTTCAGCGGTCAATTCCTTCACACATCGAAACGTTTACGCATCAACTTAGCGTATCAAATTAGCAATTACTATTAGTGTTGTCTATCCAGTCGAATGCAAAGTTTACCATGTACATTTATTTATTCGTTTTAACTGTTAAATTTTGCATGGAATATACGATTTAGTGAAAAATCGTGCAACTGCTGAAATATTATTTCGATCCACAAAAGCATAGACTTTAATTTCAACAACATAGAAATTCATTAAATAGTATTATAAAACAGTCAGCAGAATCCGGCCATATCGACGCAATTTGAACAAAAAATGTAATTTGGACTTTTTGGTACAACTTGTAATTAGGACTTTAGGCTAGAATTCGAGAAAAGAATTTTTACCAACACCACGAAATCCGTCGAGAATCGCCTGCGTAATCCAGCCCAATGCATTCGTGGCAATCAACAAGTTCGGTGGCTTTAATTTTGTGCACAATGTAGCGGTCAAATGGGAAACTGAAGTATCGATGTAATATTTTGCGAGCAATAACCGAGATCGAACCTGACTATGACAAAAAAATGCTATAGAAGCTGCAATAGAAACTAACTAACTATACATGATTCTACTAACCTGTAGAAATTTCTCGTACACTTCCTCGAGTT